AGGTTTCTCATATTTTCCATTACGTGCTGACTGGATCAGACGATACCATTTTCGAATTCTCCTTTCCTTCCTTCATTGTTCAAGTTTTAAGAAAATGCTGTGTGTTGCAGTTGTGCCGTGCGATAGCTACAGCTCTTTCTAAAGAACGGCGTAAACGGTACGAGAAAGCCTGTGGTTCTCTTTTGCGGTACAAAACCGGCTTGGGACAAATGAATTTTTTCATGGGGTCGAGCTCACGGGCTCGGACTAAAGAAAAATTTTACGGGCTGGGGCTCACGGGCTCGGGGCAACAAAAAAGTTTGCCCCGCAGGAGTCTAATCCAGACATCATAAAATGCCATACCTCCTTTGTTGTTAAAATGAAGTCTGCATTGTTTCAAAGATGCTTAACTAGCAGAGCTCCGCGGAACAGCTAATAGTCGTTCCGTCCGTCCCGTGTCCCACGACTCCTAGTCGCGTCCCGCCAAAAAGTTTTGGATTTCGTAAGGTCAATTTTTTCCAAAAGACATGCTAAAGTTCAATGCTTTCAAATACTGAGCTATTTTTGTGGTGTACGAGGTCGACAGACGTGAAACGCTTGCGTACTGCTGCTGTCCGGCTATTTCTCTCGATATAGAACAGGGATGAAGCATCGAGACAGCTAAAAAGTTGTCCCGCGTTCCTTCAGTTTTCAAAAAGCCGTCCCGTGTCTCGTGACTTCCAGTCCCGCGTCCCGCCAGTTTGCGAAAAAGCCGTCCGTCCCGTGGCGAGACGGGATAGAAACTTGGAGTCTTTCCTTCTTTTTATTTCTATGCTATCATACTTTACATCAAAATTATTACCTAGCAGAGATATGATATGAGACTTTTACTGCAATATAATCTGTAGACCATACTGGAATAAAACTTTCATGTCATATGTCTACTCGGTAATAAATTTGAAGTAAATTATGATAGCATAGAAACAAAGAGGGAAAGAACATTGTTCGGGGATGTAACGTACACCAATCCAATTGTAGATTGAATTGAACAGAACAATGAAAGATATATGAATAGACAAATGAATGAAAGTGATGTCGCCTGAAAATACGTTGTATTCGTATATTTTCATCATAATATAGAGGCTATGCTCAACTCTAATTAGTGGATTAATTGTTATAATTTGGAAGAGCATTGATTTGAAACAGAAATAAAACTGATTTATTTTTCTAGTGGGTTTGGGCCTTAAGCAATATGATTAGTGCATTAAGAGCTAACTCGTCTTTTTGTGATGATTTATCTCTTAATGTACCAAACATATTGCTTAATTCAACTTTAACGTTAATTCATTTTTCTAGTATGTTTGACTCCATAGAAAGAAAGGAACGGAAGTGATGGAAAATATCTCGTTCAGTACTTTGCACTAGAATTATCATTGCAATGTGAATCACTAAGAGAAAGAAACTAAGATGGCTCAAAAACTGCTAACGTAACTCTCAAAAGGTTTCTAACTGGACTGTAATTATTCAAACTTCCATTGAAGAACAAAACATCTAGCGTTTGTGAACAGCCTATACAAACAGTTAATATTGAACAGAAAAAGAAACTATTGTTTTTTTTTATAGAGAATATTGAAAAGGCTATAAATATATAAATACTATTCCTTTTATTCTTTTTCGATCTAACTACATATGACAAAGAATTATCATTTTATAATAGGTGCACTATAAAACGTGTTACATTTATAACAAGATTATGCTGTTTCTTTATAGACGTAAAAATGTACATTATTTTAGTCTCACTGATAAAATTATATTAGTAACAGCATCAAATATTTATTATTACAAGTTTATCCTTTATATCACAATAGAAAGGATGAACTATTGTTGAATTTTTACACAAAAACATTTGGTGTGATAACGTTCAATTTGGGACAATGATTTTGATGATCATATTCATATTAATGTAGACGATATGAATATTGAAAAAGTCAATTTGAAACAAAATTTATTTTTATGCGGTACCCAATGTTCACTGACTCTAGTTAGAGGACATGTTATTATTTATCTTCAATTGTTAGTTTTTTTAAATTAAACACATGCTGCCTTTTTCAACGTTATTTGAATATTTTCTTACTATATCTGAAAAAGTTGTTCTGAAGAGTAATACCTTATACCTACAAATACTGACATTAATCTCACCTACGTTTATTCTGGTTAAAAAATCTCTGTTCTCAAAACACCACACCTTTACTGGTATCACATACATGCAAACATTCGTTCGAACGCTTTTCTAAACTATCCGTTTTTGGAGAAAAAAATGCATTAAAAAAAACAACGCTGTAATGCGTTTCGAAAGTATCCGTTTTTTTAGAAAAAACGCATTAAAAGGATAGCGTTCCAACGCATTTCGAAAAAAACGCATTTTTCGATAAAAAAAGGCTAAAAAACGCAGTTGAATGCACAACAAAAAAACGCGTCCAAACGCATCAAAATAAACGCATTTACATGATCTTTTTATGTTGCGTCTTACGTCGAGAAACCGCATTCAAAATAAAAACCATGTCACCAAACGCGTAGAAGATAAAAACCGATGCGTTTAGACGCATTGAACATAGAAAGAATGCGTTGAAGCGCAAAAAATATCGCTTTTTTTCTAAAAGTTTGCGTTGGAACGTAATTTTATACAAATTTTTTTTCATGGGCATTTTCTCACTTGCATAGAAATAAAAATTAAAAATAACTAATTAGGAAGTTTGTGTCGGAATCTTCGTAGCCAGATCAGAGACGATCCATTTGTCAGAAATCAGAAAAGATTATTGAAAAAAGAAGTGTAATGCAAAAAGATTTAAGTGTTTTGATTGAGATTTATAGCATGACTTGTCAAGCGATATACTCTTCTAAATGAAGAATCTGACACATCCTCGAAGTCTTTGATTAAACGAAAATGACTTGCCAAGCGATGTAATGTGGTAAGTACGAACATGGGAATTTTCATTGGAACTGGTGATCGTAATAGCCAATCAATGTCGTGCTCGAGTATAGTTTTACCGGGCAGCATCGTCTGTGTATAAATGCAAATTCCGATGTTTAGCACCTTCATTGATTACTAGCGATTAACAGAGTGGATTTACTTAGCTATGAATATCAATGTATATTCGTGGACCAATAGAGTGGGATAACTACGTAGATGATGGATACGTCTGATAATGTTGTGAACTCTCCATATTTTCTAAGCATTGTAAGAGCTTCTTATATTAGTGGCCGATACAACTACTACAGTAACTACGAATACTGGTACAACAAGTACGAGTTCTACAAGTACGCCCTTTACGATAACCACGACAACAACTACAACAACCTCTCTGACAACTACTACTTCTGCCACTATGACCACGACGACTACACGTAAGTTGAATACAAATAAACGAGATGTCGGCACCTGTTTCATTATGTAAAACATCGAAATCTGAAAATATCGTCAGACCTATTGCGCTGAATCTAGATATATACAAATATCATCAATATTATTATGAACGCACTTTTTTCTTTCTAGTTGTGGCTCTTTCAGTATTTGCTTCAGTAACAGTGTCTAGTTACTGGAGTGGTGATGGTACATCTGCTCAACAAGGTGATTCTCTCGTCGATCGTAGTCAAAGCACATATTACAATTTAGGAGTAACAGTTCCACAATGGGTACAACTTCAGTTTCCTGGCCTGTACAGTATATCAGATATGTTTGAATTTTGCCCAGCTTCCTAATGGTAATACACATGAAATATACGTTGGTTCTAGTACGGTTTCTCTACAATTAGTGACTATTTTCAATGACTATACATGCTCTGGTCAATGGATTAACATAACATATAATCCATTACTCACCGGAGTCAGTGTGATCCGTCTCGACACAGTATCTAGCCCGTCATGGGTAGTTTGAGTCAAATTTCTAGTTTATGGTGTTTAACAAAGTGTAGTTAGAACAATGTCAAACAATAATTTATTATTAAATTCAATAATGGACACAAGATTTCATCGTCATAGTGCTCTTGATTTGCTTTGTATTGCTTTTCCTGTTAAACATGTGTCTTACTTGTACAGTTTGTTCAAGAAATTACGATTCTAAAAATATGCGAGAAAAATTCAATATTGAAGCACTCAAAAGTAACATCAATCCTATATCGATCAGATTAGATTTACAGTCAGATAATTCTATCGCAGCCACAATTTCATGCTTAAGTAGTTATTCGTTTCATTTTCTTAAGATTAATACTCTGTGCTCGCATAGACACAAGAATGTTTTCGGCAGCAGGTTTATCATCAGCAATTATTATTTCTTCTTCCAGAGTGTCGCCACGTATTCGCATAGTCGCCACAGCGAATACACCATTAAATTTGAATGATGAGACGAGTATATCATTAATCCATTGTACAGCTGCCGTCGCACCACTACCTTCATCGACATATAGATCTGTAGCACCCTGGCCACGACAGAAACGTTAATCCTTGAGTAATTTCAGAACTCCATGCTCAGTAAATGTACTATTCCATATGGTGCAAGTTTCATCAGTCATGGGATAGGGTCCAATGATAAATGTCACATTCCAACCATGACCTAGTTGTCCTTCTGGATATGCTTCTGTTGCACCATGCCAAGTACCAGTCCAATCAGTCTGACCCATTCCTGATGCGCTCATTGACCATCCTAAATAGACAACACGCTAATTGTGATGCCGACTGTGAACTTCTGCAATCATTGTTTAAGACATTATTCGATCTATCAGTTCGTGTACATTTTTCCTCCTATATACCAACCATTTTCCGTGCATTGCACTATAACAACGGTGATTGAAGCAAAAAGGAACAATATCGAGAAACTGTATAATCTGAATTGATTCATAACTACGAAAAACAGCAGAGAACTTGTATTAGTAATTCGAAGCAAAATGTCAGAATAGATTCCTTTTTTAATACACTAGTTATATTTGCTATTTATTTGTGCTTCAACAAATCCAGGTCTGAAAGTATTAGTTTCATTTTATTGTAGAGGTGATTAGATAAATAAATATTTACTCTCTAAAAGCATTAAGAGATTATAAAAGAGAAATGTCACAGCAAACGAAACAAATAGAGATACATATACATATACATCATATTGATGTCAGACGAAAAGGATGGCACGAAAAGCAGACAGAGGCTGCTTCTTCACACAGAAGTTTTTTGTCGCAAACGTGACAGTCGTGTTATTTATTCGTGTGATCCATGTACCTTCCCCCAGATAGTCAAAGGAACGAGACGCGTGGATACAGATTATCATGTAACAGATATACCTAAACACAGACTGAACTCGTAGTTGTACTTAGATTCTGATTAAACTGTAAAGTTTTGATTGAACAACAAATCTTGCTAAAAATTGTTCGGTGAAATTGACAACGGAACCTTGTTGGTACTTGGAAAACTAAAACTGAGAGAAATTTAACATTTTCCATGTTGAATACTAAAAGGGTGGCGTGAAAACCGAAAACCAGACCGAGGCTGCTTTTTCACACAGAAGTAGTCTTCGAAAACTGGACGCTTTACCTCATCCTCACCCCTGACTTTTTGCAATAATTGGAAAGCAGGTGACAAATTCGATGTTTCTTTTCAGTTTTTACAAATTCTGAGTGGACCTGTGCACTAGTCAAAAAAAGTATACCAAAAGTTTTCCGACCAGCGGCAGAGGAGTGAGGGCAAGGCTGAGTCGGTAGGTCGAGTAAAACAGAATTTCATTTGAAGTACTCTACTTTATCCTTGTGTATCGGGTTTATCTTTGTCTTATGCAGTCTTCAGTCGGACGAGGATATTCCAGAAAATATGAGACTAAGCAGCCTCTCTGTTCGTTTCGGTTTTACCTCCATCACATGCTATACTATATATCGTACCCGATATAGCGGGTTGACGAAAAACACTGATCAGAATAGCTTTTAATCGATACATTGATCAATTATCGCCCGATATATTGTGTATAATCAGTTATGACCAAAACGGATCATGAGTGCTGTGATTGAAACGGATCCAAAACTGTTCTGCTGACAGATTTATCACCATAATGACACCAATTATTGAGATTAATTCAGATTTAGAGAAGGAAGTTTTTACAATATCATGGCTCTCGCCCTATAGGAATGGTATCTTTCAAATTTAAGTTCTATAGTACACTAACTCTTATGGTAAATATTACCAAGTTTTCCTAATTATAAGAGAAAAATTATAGTATTTTTTCTTCAGTGGTTAAATTAAACGAGATAAGCAACCTGAGAATAAAAATACTTTTAGATTACAACCTGTACAAAATATTTTTACCACTAAGTTATATTAACTTTTGATATTCAAAGTAGGGTTTACTTTCTTTATCCAGTATGATTCCCGTGCTTTTAGCTATTTAATCGATACATTATCGATCAATTATCGCCCGATATATTGTGGACAGTGTCTGACAGCGCCGCACCGCTAGCTATGGAATTACCTATATTAACCAATTATTGCCCGATATATTGACTCATGTATTTACAGCATGAAAAATGCTGTTCGCATTGCATTCCGGGACAGACACCTGAATTTTTGTAATATATTACAGAAAGCAACATTCTGCACTATATAGGTCTATCATTGCTCAATATATTGGCTTGACGGTTTGTCCACGTAACGCGACACTTCCCTGATTAAGTGTTTAGAAATGTTTTATTATCCGCGAACCGATATGAGTACATCACTAGATGCAGTGTTTTGCGCTGTTTACGAATCCCACCTCCTTAACAAATAAAAATAAAAATTTCAGCAAAAAAATTTGAATTTAAAATTTTTAAAAACTTTAAATGAATATTTTTGACCTAGAAACTTTTTAAAGTTGGAATTTGAACAAATTTGAAAGGAAATTCGTTCACATTAATTTAAAAAACTTTTTGGCGTTCAAAATTAATGCGCATCAATTTAAATTTTTGAATAAATGAACAAAAGATAAAAAAATATACTTCAAATTAATGCGTATTAATTTGAAATACTGACATTAATTTTAGTTCATTTTTACGTGAAAAAATTAATTTCGCTCATTACCGTTATACAAAGTCTCATATCAAATTGATGTACACGAATTTCGAGCTTCGAATAAGTGTACATTAATTCGAAAACTCTACACTAACTTGAAACTCAAATTAATTTGAATTAATGTTTTCCCAAATTTCTTTAACTCAATTTAGTAATAAAACGATTTGCACTAATCTGATAGAAATTAATTCAAAACAATTTTCAACTTAAAATTAATCTGAATTAATTTTTGCAGACTTTATCGTTGTTAATTTCCTACCGCATTAATTTAAACGACTTTGTGATTTTAGAATGGTTTAAATTAATTTGAAAAAGCATTAATTTATAATAATTTTAAATTAAAAATTCGTTGGAACTAATTTAGATCTAAACCAATTTAAATCAATTTATATGGGAATTAGTTTACATTAATTTTCGGTTAAAAATTAATGTAAACTAATTTGAGACTAAATTAGTTCAAATAGTTGGTGAAGATTTCAATATTTTTTTTCAAAAAGAAAAAACTCAAAGTCCCCATAGTATATCTGATATAGTTAGAGGCTAAGTTTCCCCAAGCAACTTTTTGCGAGAAATCCAATGGCACTCTCAGAAATTCTTGAAAATATTTCTGAACCGAAATAAGTACACCTATTTTGGTTTCGAAAAACTTGAAATTAATTTGCATTAATTTTTTTTGTAATT